TTTTTTTGCCAGCATCTTTAACTTGCTCTTCTGACAAGATGAGAGTGATCATAAGTAAGTCCTACCTCGAGTCACTGCACTATAATGAGGCCAATTTACAGCTGAATGACCCAATGTGCAGACCGCTGGTGTCCAACGTTGTGGAGTTTTCTATCCCTCTTGATGGATGCGGTACAATCAAAAAGGTAAACTCAAACGCTGTTGACCAGATTTTGTCCAATGTCTCTTATCTGATATGTGTTATGTTAACTAGGCTAATGCTTGCAGCTGCTGCTGTTATTAAGTGCCATTGAGTCACTTGCAACTCATAGCGAACCTGTGTGCATAGCTCTAAACCCTGCCATATCCTGAGTCAACCTCTTGGTTTCTGACACACCTACCCCTATTAGCTCTGTTACTGTGTCAATCCATCTCCTCCTGAGTCTTTCTCTCTGGTTCTCTACCTTCCTCCCTTCCAAGCATGATATCCTTCTCCAAAGACTGCTCCTTCTTGTCCAAAGTACGTCAGATGGAGCTTCAAAATCTTTGCCTCTAAGGAGCAAATTGGTTTCACTCTCTCCAGGGTAAACCTGTTTGTTCTGTTGGCAAGCCATGGTAGGGTCAATAGTCTTCTCGAATGCCATAACTCAAAGGCATCAATTTTTCTTCTGTCATTCTTATTCATTGCCCAGCTTTCTGATGTGTAGCAGGTAAATGCAAATATCATGGCCTGGATCAGCGTACCTTAGTCTCTAGAATGACATCATTGCTCTTTAGCACTCTGGAGAGGTCTCTGACAGCAGATTTTCCTAATACAGTTAGTCTTTTGATTTCCTGACTACTGGTTGTCTGTGGAGCTGAGCAAGTGGAAATTGTTAACAATCTTGATACCTTCCCCATCTATCATGGCGCTTGATGTCAATTGATCCAGTGGTAAGAATTTTTGTCTTCCTGATGTCGAATTTCAATGCATATTGATGACTGAGGTCCTTGAACTTCTGCAGCAAATATTTCAAGTCCTCCTCAGTTTCAGCAAGAAAGGTTGTGTCATCTGCATAAGGCAAATTGTTAAGTCTTAATTCAATCTTAATGCCACATTTCTCTTCATAAAGTCCAGACTCCCAAATGATCTGTTTTGCAAATAGGACTCATCCCTGATACACTCCTTTCCTAATTTTGAGCCATGCAATGTTTCCTTGTTCTGTTCTGACAACTGCTTCTTGGCCCAGATATAGGTTATGCATAAGCACAATCAGGTGTTCTGGGATTCCCATTCTTCTCAATGCCAGCCACAATTTATTGTGAACCACACAGTCAAATGTTTTCACATAGTCACTAAAACACAGATTTGACAAGCACTGTGGCAA